AATATATGTTGTGGGCTAGGAAATAAGAAACGCTCCAGTTCCTTAAGAAATGCAAAATCTATAGTTAATAGCAAACTTGCACTCAAATCAAAGTTAAGGGCCAGTTACGGAGGCGAGGTATCTGCCGTGCTCGTCAGACCCAGTTGAGGCAGAGCCAGGATCGCAATTACATAACAGGTCTCCGGCTTTTGAGCTTGGTGGTGTCTAGTATCCCTAGCGGTCGCAAATAATCTGTCCTCCTGCGTTATTCGCATCTAAAGCTCTGGATTTATTCTCACAAAGACCTACGCGCAGTCATTCGATTTGACGCCGCGTGCTCCTCCTACTGATGTTCATCTATTGTACCTATCATTCGCGAATCACCAGTAAACTGGGCTATTGCAACTTCGAAGTCAACCGTATTTGAACCTTACGGGAGGATATACGTGTCCTCTCGGCGCACAAGAACACGTGTGGTCTCATTTTAAAGATCGTTCTGAGGGTCAACCGATCAGCTTACTACCACTCCTTCAAGTCGCTGTTCAAAGCGATGGTCGTCAAATTGGTTCGCCCTTGGAACAGCCACTGTCGCCAGTAGACAATATTTTTCAAGTCATCTTGCTTTGCATTAACCCTACGATATATCGCCTTCTATCTATGTACCGGCTTGATCGATAGCGCGCACGTCGCCTGTCTACCCTAAGCAACCTGTGACTTATCTGGCGGAGACACGTTTGATCCCCTGAGCTCAAACCAGCGCCGATAGCCACGCAACGAAAAGCGAAGCGAAGGCAAACACAGTGCGTCAATATCTCTGTTCGCTTGCTACCCGTTAAAACAGCACGCATACTGTGAACATATCTCATATGAAGAGCAAATGCGAATCATGTGCTAAAGTGGTACAAACTGCTCTGGTATATACAAGGTCTTTGATATCTTATACCACTACTTGTCTTGGGACGGGGTCGACAAAAACAAACACAGCCGAGGCGTTTTGGTTCTGCCACTTATACAATTCTATCCCATTTGTTAGCTGTCTAGCTGTGCTACTGAAGAGGTGTAAAACACTAAACGAAACTGTCGAGCAACTAATGCGCGCCAGAGTTACACCTATGGGAGGAAACATACTTGCACTTGGGAGTGTATATAACATCCTGAAATCCCGGGTCAGGCCAACGAAGCGAGCCAGTACTGAAAGCAGGACCTGGACGTATAACGTCCTGACCAGTTAAGGATAAACGGCAAACCAAACATTAAACGGCCAGGTTTGGTCTCCCCAGTGTACTAGATACAAGAGGACCGCGATGGAGTTTGCAAACAGGGTCACCAATTGTGGCGCCGAACTCAGTTACTGCTAGCGAAAATTACCAGTAAGCCTAACCACGGAAACCGAGTATGCATAAGTGACACGTTGCCGTACCTAACGTGTATTGTACGAGCTACGAGGAGCTGAAAGTCAATACTTGAGGCACGAATCAATGAGCCGCAGTACTCACAGGAAGCGAAAAGGAGCCGGATGTGCCGTCAGTAAAACAAATTAACCATTGGGACGATACAAACAAGAATGAAATCCAATGTCACAAAATACAGAAATCCTAACTATTTCACCTCACTTCAATGTCCGGGTGGTCTTGCCGTCGTTTGCAGAACTGGACACAACTGCAAAGCAACCTGTCGCTGGAGGCGCACGCTGCGCACTTCACGGTACTCAAGTCCATACAAAATTGGTGGTACAATTGATTGCGGAAATCGCACTGCATGCAGCCGGGCTCGTCAATTAGTGGCATATTCAAACTCCTGAAAGACAGTGGGTGTCGCAGACCCGCGTATCTTTTCTAGCCAGCTACCTCGGACGGCTTGCAGACCAACAGGATGTCAACTTGACGCTGTGCGTCGGCAACACGGAACCTTTATCTCAGGACCTACGCCCTTCAGTACATTACTATCCTATTTTCCGTTCAACCAAGTTCTTTCAGTTGAAGTCTGTACCGAATCAACGCAATTTAAAATTGTGCTGCTGTATATGAGCCCTGATGGCGCTTCTAGGAGTTTCATTGACTTCATCCGCACTCACTCTGCGAACAGATGCTTGATAATGGGGGACTTCAACTTCCCTGAAGTAAATTGACATGACCTATCTTGTGAGGCAGCGACAACAGGGTTGGCTGCCGAGCTTGTTGACTTGACACTAGAAGTACCCTTACACCAATTTGTCGATCGACCCACCAGGTACAAGGTGGGTCAAGCTCCTTCTCTGTTGGACCTGGTTTTCGCAAAGTCGGTTGACTTTGTGAGTGACCTTGAGTACGGCCCCCCTTTGGGAGCCAGTGACCATACGTGTTTGTCATTCACTTGTGCTCTCATTAGAGACTACGATTCACGCAGGGTCCCGACTCCGAACATTTGGCACGCCGACTTTCCGTCTATTAGAGCCAAGGCAGTAAGTTTCCTACGCATCATCTTGCCGGATGATGATATACAGACGGCTTGGGATACGTTTAAGTCTTTCCGCTCTAACATATCCCACCCCCACATCCCTCTTTCGCTAAAGAAGGGTGCCAAAGCGAAGCCACCATGGTTGGACTCAGTCGCACACCAGCTAATGAATAGACGGACAAGATGCTGGCGGATCTACCGTACAGTTCTCTCAGAATGTACTTTTCGGCGTTATCGGGAAGCTCGGAATGCTTGCAAGAGTCATTTACGTGCTGCTAGACTTAGCTATAAGATGGAGCTGGCTAACTCAGCCTCCGCGAATCCCAAAAGATTCTTCGCCTACGTCAAAAGGCGTAGTAACGTTGGCTCATCTATCCCAGTGTTATTAGGCAGCGACGGCGTCACTGCCACCACTGATCACGAAAAAGCATGTCTACTGAGTGCGCAGTATGCCGGAACGTTTGTTCAGGATGAGCAATTGCCGCATCTTGACCTAGCAATGAGAGTAGCCCAGGACTCCTGTTTAACACACGTCACAATTTCGGAGGCAAAAGTTCTCCATCTTCTTCAGGCTCTAAATCCTGCTAAATCCGCTGGGATGGATGATATTCACCCTAAGCTTCTGTACGAACTAGCAAGCGAGCTATGTGGCCCAGTGACTCGTTTGTTTCAATTGTCGCTTCGCAGCTGCTCCTTTCCTAAGGACTGGAAGGATGCTATCGTTTGCCCGATTTTTAAAAAGGGCGACTAGCATCTTCTTGCCAATTATAGACCAGTAAGTTTGACAAGCGTACTAGTCAAGGTATTGGAGAAGTTGGTCAGTGGTGTGCTTGAAGACCACCTGCGGGAGTATGATCTGCTCAGTCCACTGCAACACGGTTTTCACAAGGGTCATTCCTGTATGACTAATTTGCTAGTTGCACGCGAATGTTGGGCGGATGCTTTGGATCGGGGTCATGCAGTAGATGTGGTGTTTATTGACTTCTCCAAGACGTTTGACACTGTATCACATTCTCGCCTTTCCTTGAAACTTCGGTCCTATGGAATATCCGGGGTATACTAAAATGGATCACCACGTTTCTGGAAGGGAGAGTGATGTGTGTTCGTGTGGGGGTCTAGTCTGTCTTTCCGACAGTCAGTCCTCAGTGGGGTCCCTCAGGGTTCGATGCTTGGCCCGTTGTTATTTTCCCTGTATGTCAACGAGCTGCCCGAACTGCTGGAGGTACCATTTCTCATGTTTGCAGATGACCTAAAGTTTTGGCACATAGTGTCTGACTTCGATGGACCCCAGATTCTGCAACGGGCCCTCGATCAACTTTGGGACTGGGCTGCTCTGTGGCAGTTGCCCATAAACTATGCAAAGTGTTCCATCTTACGAGTAGGGCCAAATAGCTCCCAAACGCGTTATTTTCTTGGCGGTAATGAACTCCACCATGTTACCCAATTGGCAGACCTAGGGGTCACATTGTCTTCAGAACTTAAATCCAGTGAGAACTGGAGGAAAGCTACGTGCAAGGGTTTCAGAAGGTTGTGGATGATCCGTAGGGCATTCGGGACCATGTTTGTTAGGTTATTCTCAGCGTTTGTCAGGCCACACTTGTAATACTGCATCCAGGCTTGTCCACCTTGTTTAGTCAGGGACAGGATGTCAGTGGAGAGAGTGTGGAGAGTTGGAACCAAACTGGTCCATGGACTGCAGAACCATTCTTACCCAGAAAGACTACTTGCGCTGGGAATGTTCTCGATGCACTATCGTCAAGATCGAGGCGACCTAGTCTTGACCTATCGTATACTTACCAGTAAAATCGGACCCGATTTATCCGGGCTTTTCCAACCGGCTCTGCTTCCATCGCTCCGAGGTCACACGCTGAGGCTACACAAACCTCGATCGGATGGAGTTCTAGCGGACTTTCGTTTATCACGCCGAGTGGTGGATTCCTGAAATGCACTGCCCGAAAACGTGGTATTGGCACCAACAGTGAAAGAGTTCGGACACCGACTCGACGCTCTTGGCCTTCAATTCTTAACATTCCCCTTCACTTCCTAGTTTATTCTTTTTATTGGATTACTAAATCTATTTTTTTCTTGATGCTCTTATTACTTTCGTACTTCTCTCTCTTATTTCACGTGACCGGTGCGGCGGGGACTGCCAGTGCAGGTCGCGTGGTTATTAATTGGTTGACCGTGGTGTGATTCGCGCGCGCTGATCTGACTCTTCTGGATTCCAGTTATCGCGGACGAATAATACCCTGGATCAATGACGCGTCACTGAAGGAACATTTACGGGGATTTATCCTACTGTTCCGGTCCCACCTGAACTTGAAGTTGAACTTGAACCAAGTTATAATAGCCAGATAACCTTGATTACTTACAAGTGAACATGATAAGACAGTATTGCACACATTGCGCATGCTTACCATTAGAGTTTATTGTATCCACCAAGCATCCGTTTCCGGCGCGTTATTCGGTTATGCGAAACGAGTTGGTTATTTCTCGTTCCGTCCCTTTGGATTATCGCTCGGAGCCTTCTGTTATTGCATTTTTTCATTTGGAAAATTTGTCACTCTCGAAATGTTTCCGTGAGCATGCGTAAAAGACCGTTGAGCAAGTGTACTTCTCCCAGCATCTCATCCCCGTCGTATGTATTTCATGGCCAAGAAAGCAGATCTCCCAATCTGCTCCCCACGCTAGCGACATCTCACATTTGGCCAGAATGCGAATCATCCAGCCATAACTCTGCTGAAGAATCAAACAGTTTGAAGCGAACTTCTGACAACGACTGTCGCAGGATTCTCAGACAGAGACGAATTTCGGAGGTTTTTCGGTGCTACGACGAGACGTACCTCTCCTCTCCACTGTTGACAACTCCAGCGAAATTTCGGAAGTTAATTCCAAAGGTCTGTATAATATTTTTTTGCATCTGAGAAGCTGGGTATATTATAATGCAGGTAGCGTCACAAATCTTGTGGTCTACCCTTAAGCGCGGTCATGCACATGTTTCTTTTCCGCCTGTCTGGTGCCATGTTCCTGACACGTAGTTTATGTGTGTCGTATTTACTTTTAACATACAACTGCTGTTTTCTCATTTCTGCCTGCAATTATAACGGAGACGGCCGTTTTTTCCTCTTTTGTACTATATAAGCTGTTTGGTAAGCTTATTCCAGCCAGTTTCATCAATGGTGATTGAGAATAGCGGAACTTACATGTATTCCTTCTTCCTGAGCTACATATTTTTTGTTTGCCATTCGTTTCGTCACTTGAACTTTTGCACGGAGTCGAAGTATTTTCCAGGCTTTTTACCCTGGTACTGGTAAAAAGCCTGGAAAATACTTTGGCTCCGTGCAAAAGTTCAAGTGATGAAACGAATGGCAAACAAAAAAGTGTACCGTCGTACTGGTGGAGCCTCACGGCTCCGTGGTTGGGGTCCAAAAGACGCTGAACACGTTTGGCTGGATACACTTGCTGACATGGCAAGGAGCCGACCTCATTGGCGTTCCTGCTGTGAGTTTCTTTGTCCCTCCGCATCCCTTTTAGCCTCCCCTTCCACCTACGATCTCATTTCATAGCGTAAAACGTAATAATTTTTCTTTTTGCTTAGTAGCTGGCTGGTAGCTTACCGGAACGATGCCTATCCGTTGCTAGTAGCTCAGCTGGCATGCAACTTTTGTATTTATTTCCCTTTTTCATTTATGTATTGCGGCACAGTAGCTGAGGTGTTTCCCACCTCTAGCTGACGTGTATAATGATGATGCTGATGACCGTGGTACTGCTCAACCTATAGTTTCAGCAGACACTGTGCTGTTGGTTACAAAAAGGCTAATTGCCAAAGTATATTGATTATGACACCGTACTGCCAACAAGCGAACGCTTTGTCTTTACAGCAGCAGTACTCCGGCACACCATACCCACTCTTCCCTACATCTGGACCACCACCATTCGCGTGACGGCTAGTTCTACCACAAGGTTGCCCGCACCTACGCAACCACCACCGCACGCTTTATCCAGACGTTCACTTGGTCCAGCGCTGGCCCGTGGCCTTAAGGATCACATTCATGCCTTGCAATCTGAGGTCGCGGGTTCCAGCCTGCGTAGGTGACCGGTGACTCTCGTAGTATCCTTAGCCCACGCCCGACTGGTGGTCGTGGCGCAACAGCGAAGTGTCGATACTGCGTACTGCCATACTGCTGATACATGGTCCAGGACGATGCGGTGTCGACGCACAGCTGAGCCCGTGTAATGCGCGACTGACCAAATTTATCAGGATGTCGTTCGGCTGCACACCTACCATTAGCCAGTCAGCGGTTGACATACGGTTCGTATGTTTTCCATTTTGCTTTTAATCCCTCAGCACTTGTTCATACGACCGTCATAGGGCTTTATTGGCTGTCCTGATCGTTTGCAGTCTAGAGGACATAATCGGTACTGACTCAGTTCTCTTACCCAATTGTGCACCACGCATCACTGATAGCGAATGCTTCCGTTTCAACCTCCCTCAATTTGTGATGAATCTTAAAACGGTCCGAGGTTAATTTGCGGAATGTGTGGATTCTGAACTACAATAACTATTCGATAGTAGTGTTCCTAACTAGTTAATAACGGCGTGTGATGACGAGATTGTTTATTGTCTGAGCTGAATTGTGGAATCATGGTCTCAACGTCGGCTTCAGGTGCGGGTTCAAAGAAGTTTACTGCATGTTCTATGGATGTCTCCTATTATTGTCTCATTGGGTTCGTTTTTAATATTCTTCTGTCCCGCGAACGTACAGATATCACGTTGGTTGACCATTGTCCACGTTCACTATATTACAGGGTGTTCTGGTGTATTTTCTGCGAGCATTTACTGTTTAATTCTTGCTGTATGAGTACCATCCGGGAACGGTGTCAAATGCATACCAATGGCGTTTTCCTCGGAATAATTGAGTCCGATATCACGAACAACCATCTCTTGGTTCACTATATGCTGTACACTAGCTATCCTGGATGCGTTAATCAGCTCATTTATCAGAAAACATTCGCCAAACAGAAAAACCGTAGGCATATTCACTGAATTATCGCTCCGCTGCTTTCCGGGTAGGCTATTCAACTAAAGGCTCAGTGAGGTGTCCCCTAAGTCAGCTGGGTAATACCACGCTCTGTGAAGAAACTGAGTTTGTCTGTGCTGCGTTCAATTTCCTTTATACGATAACCCAAACTGCTTTTGACTTGCATAGTTTTTGAAGGCTCCATGTCTATTCGTATAGTGCTGAAAATGCATATCGTTAGCGGCATCCAGTTCCAGATTTGCCTTTCACTGTGGCCTCCATAGAACAGCTACAGTACGTCTACGCCTACATAGGGACCATGGATGGCTTTCGTCGCAGCATCCACAGCTCCATTCACATACTCCGTATCCAATGTAAACCCGAAAGAGTAAGTCCGGGAGGCATGTGAATGGGTGCCACGTTTCATCAACCGTGCCGACCCACACTTCCTCAGCATGCACAGCAGAAGCATTCCTAACTATCTAATTTGGGGACCATGCGTACCAGTTGTACACAAGGCGTCGGCTTGGTCTTAGTTAGCACCACACCGGGTGGAACCACTGTGAGCCTAGTACGGCCACAATGACCGTGCACCCCGTCACCAAGCAACGATTATCAGTCTCGTGGGTCCTGTAATCAAGGTGGAGGGTATTTGACAGGTAGGCACCTTGTCGACATTCACGTCAAGCGCAGCCACACTGAGGATATAAAACAACCAACACACAATTTGAAGGAAAATGAACACGCAAACATGATACGGAAAATGCAATCAAATAACACCGAACTAAGCAAACCGAATAAAAAGGAATACTTTTTTTCAGGTTAAGAAGATCTAGTTTAAGTGTAAGTCCGACCCAACTGCTGTGAGGAAGCGTGATGTATGCAGTATGCACTTCAGCATGAGACAATGAAAATACATTTACTGGCCTGTACTTCACAGATCACTGGTTCGCGGTTGTGCACGAGGTATGCAGATATGCAGAAAGAGTCATCTCAGCATTAGACGATTCGCACGACATTGCGATACCACACCGTATGCCGTGCATTGGTTTGTGTGCCTCAGTGATCCATTGAGCTATGCTGGGTGGTGCTTTCTTGCATCTTCAGAGCCACTCATACCAAATTGGTCAATGGTCAGAGGTCTGACAAACTCAGCCTCCTGGCCCTCCGGATTGCGGGTTGGAGTAAGGGTGGCTCCTTACTCCAAAAAACTGGCTCTCTGTAGTCCAGTGCCAAAACCCCGCTGCCTTGCGGTAAGGTTTTTGAACCAAAGGCTTTGGTTGAGAACCCCAATCGTTCTCTTGTCTAGGCCTGGGAAACCTGACAGTATTCTGCTCACGCAATACAACGAACCTTTCTCCTAACAATTGATGCTCTGGCCGTCGCAGGGGAGAATCAACGGCGCCCTATCTGCTGCATCGAGCAGGGTGGATAGGCGTTTGTATGCTACTGCTCAGGCCTTCCCGTCTTCTTATGCCCCTTCTTGCGCTTTTTCATTCTTCTCGTCCCTCTCCAACTTTACTCTTATCCCCCCTGTTTTCAACCCCTCAATTCTGGGCCCTCCCACACCTTTCTTCAGTAGTCGCTTGTCTTCTAGTTTCAAGTCACACACAGTCGCAGGGCATCGCTCCAATCCAGTCGACAAGTCCATGTTCAACTAAACGGACAACGTCGGTTCGTCCGTTTCCTTTTGCAGTCCTCGTGTCTCGCTAAGACTGGTATGCCTCAACGTGCGCACTTTGCTACAGATTGGCTAACAGACAGCACTTACCCGCACACTAGAGACCCTATCGATCGATATTTGCTGTTTATCAGAGACCCGCCTGCAACATTCGAGCTCCGTGCTTACTCTGCGATCCCCCACATGCGACATTGGCGGCACATTCTCATTGCGCCTGTCTGGCGATGATACAGCTTCAAATGCCGGTCAAGCTGGCGTCGGCATTGTTTTGTTTCCCTGAGCTGAAGCTGCCCTGATCGATTGGATTCCAGTCAACAGTCGGATGTGCTCCGTTGAATTAGCTGGTTCGTTCCATGCTACGAAGTCGCGCCGGAACAAACGGTGCCTGCTTGTCATTGCGCCCTGCGCCTGTACAAACTGTAGCAATGATTCGGTGAAAGATGATTTCTATCAGCAACTTCACGATCTCCTTCGTTACAGAAGAAGCACGGATACTTTGCTATTGGCTGGCGAGCTAAACGCCCAAGTCGGAAAATTGTCCCCTGGTGCGTTTCATCTGGGTGGCCAACATGGTGTAGGCTCCCGTTATAATAACTGTGAACGATTGCTACAGCTGTGTGAAAATGCTCGTCTCTTTCTCGCGAGCACAAATTTTCGACACAGCACCGCAGAAGCATGACTTGGCGCCCACCAGCTTCGCACCAGCCATGGACGCAAATCGATCATTTCGCTATCAGTTACCGCTGGAGACGCTGTGTCCAAAACTATCACTCGATTTGGAATACGAGCATGGACTCTGACCACGCACTTGTCTGCTCCGACCTCCGAGTGCGTTTCGGTGGACGTCCGCAACGTTGATGTGAACGGACTGACACCAGTCAGCTGGCGAAGCCAGGTGTTCTGAATGTATATCAAAGTGCGCTGACATCTGGGCTGAGTAAGCGCTCACAGGACACCGTCGAAGATCACTGGTCGCATATTCGTTAAACGTTACTATCAGCAGGCATTTCTTCATGGGGCAGATCAAATTGCCAAACTGGACATTGAGTCCCTACACCGTCTCGGAACTTCTGAATGCTAGCCGACGTATTCCGGCTGGAAGCGTATACAATGAGGCTCGCAAACATCTCAGGGCAAAACTACGTGCTAACCTGAAGAAAGGCCGCGAAACATGGTGGTCTCATCATACTTCGGA